GACAGAGCAGTACCGTCGGGCGAGACGCGTAAACAGGAGACTCGGTTCTCGTGTCCGTAGAGCAGCGCCAGACGCTGGCACTTGAGCGTGTCCCAGACGTTGACCGAGTAGTCGTTGTAGCCGGCAAATAGCAGGCGACCGCTCACCGACATGTCGACCGCGTTTGCGCCAAAGATTATACTCTCCTTCGAGTAGATGGCGACTTCCTTGTCAGCGCGCAGATCGAATAGGCGGCAGGTTGCGTCGTCCGAGCCTGTGGCGACCGCATCGCCGCTTGGATGGAATCGTACCTGCGGGAGAGGCCAATAGTTGGATAAAAAAATTGACACCCTATCAATAACTCCCGACGGTTACTGAGATTTTTTTTTTTTTACAATTTATTTAGATGCTTATTTTAGTAAAGTAGTATAATGGCTTGTATCTTCAATACACAAACATACGCGTTTTTTTATGTTTTGAAGAAATCTTAACTTTTCGTCAATACTAAGCTCCCTCTACTAGAGAGCGAAATCTTTAAGATCATTGGTATTAAAATTGCAGTTTATGCTGGAAAATGTCACATAGGAGAATACCAACATAAGGATTTATTATTCATATTATGAAAAAATAAAAGTTCTCTCTAACTTACCGAATTGACATCAGACTCATGGCCTTCGAAGCTCTGCACGCATAAGCCGTTCCTCATGTCCCAAATGTTAACCAGCTTATCGCAGCTACCAGAGACAAAAGTGTTTCCGATTTCACTAGGTGCCAAGTCGATGGACATGACACTGTCCGAGTGCCCATGAAAGCTCTGCAGCAGCTGACCACTTTCGACGTCCCAGAGCGCACAGGTACTGTCACCGCTGCCTGTGATCACTTGTTGGTCGCTATTGGGAAAGACGCAACAAGACGTGTACGAGATGTGGGTGCCCACTGTCTTCTTCTTTGCTGACATATCATCTTCCAAACTTAATGAGTATACTGTCACCTTATTGTCAAGACCGCTGTGAATTAGCCCAAATCGATCATTATTCATCGTTTGATTTTTTGAAATTAAACAGTCGCCCTATTGCATTAGTAATACGTAACGAATTAGGTGTGGCTCTTTATTCATTCATTCTGACTTACCCACATGCAACGAGTTGTCCGCTAGGTGCGTACGCACAAGCTATCACCCACGTCGTCGGTGTTGTGACAGCGTGTTCCTTATTTGTTGTAAAAGCATCCCATATAATCATCTTACCATCCTATTGAACGATTAAATTCGTAATGAGGAGTGTGAAAAGCAAGTTACATGAACGTCAATGTACGCATAGAAAATTTTCGCAACAATAGGTACCTGAGATGAAGAGACAATGTGCCGTTTGTCTGGAGACCAATCAGCACACAGTACTTTTCCCATATGCCCTTTCAAAATTCGACGAGGTTTTATGTTTATGCAACTGATTTGTTCTAGCTTATCAGCAATAACAGACACTAGAAACGATGAGAAACAATTACAGTTTTGCTTTTACTCAGTTTAGCACAGGTTTTTTGAAACATGTTAACAACATAAAATGCATTTTATACAGTAGATTTTACTTACGGGTGACATCATTGAGTTTTTGTCTTTCATCTTCAAGGCGAATTTTGAGGGACTCTGCCTCTTTGCACAATTTTTCAATCTGCTCAGATTCTGTAGCAGCTGCATCCATGATTGACAACAAAACTAGTCCATTCACGGGTCAATGTTTTGTGGGAAAGAAGTTTATCATCTAACAATCATGAGTGATGTTTGGGGTTGGTTGGGTAGGAAAAAATTCTGAAAAATAACATTATCATTGTAAAAATCGTTGCACTTATGCGCATAAATGTAGAGAATTGAGGTTTTTTTGGCCAAATTTCATTTTCTTAAGTTGTTAAGTCTAAATGGGACAAATTTAAGTCATAGAAGAAAACTGATGAAATACAAGATTTCCTGGATGGACGAATTAAAGTTGTTACACTACTGTATTATATGGAATATGAATGCTTTTAGGTGTACTTAACGAAAAAAAAAATCTGCCTTGAAAACCTCAAATGCCAAAAAACTCAAAACCCCTTAGCTCTTAGTGCAACCACACTTGTAACAATTGTAAACGACAGACAGATCGCGTATGTACACAAGTGGTTATAGCCTCGTTTGCGCCCCTCCTCCGAAAATTGAAAGCTACCGACCTTTACATTATTTTTAGGACGATGAGAACAGGTCAGCCTCATCTCCAGCAACCACATCAGCTTCGGAACTCATGTCGGACGGGCGAAGATGCTCCAACATCAATAACACTTGATTTGCTCACTTGGTGTGTTGTAGCACCGAGACGTTTCTTTTAAGAACGATAACAGCAGCATCGAAAACAACAACAATCCTGGCCGTCCACGGGTGCATGCCATGTGATGATGCACATCACTACGATAACAGGAGACTTGTCATTTTGTTCAACGTCTTCCTCTTCGACATGGCTACGTGAACCTGCATGCAGCTATACTATCCTCAGGATCACGACGATCAACATCCAGTTGCAGATGCTGTTGGTAGTATATGCTGCAGGTGAACTGAGAAGTGTGAACTGTCACTGCGCTGTCATCAGTTTGTTGTTGGGGGAGTGTGCGAGAGAGAAGACGACGAAGAGGGAGAAGGGAATGTGATGTATATACATATACATGGGTAATTTCACAAAAACTGCGATACTTTCACGCCCTTATTGAGATTTTTTTTTAATTCAATGTTTGTAATTTTTCATTAGGGTATTTTTCCCAAGTTGTGTGAGGTCTAAACTAGTTGGAAACTTTTGGGCCCGACTCTACGGTCTTTTTTTTTAAATCAGTGTTTTTTTTTTAATTGTAAAAGAGCGTTACACGCCTACTGTTATTACTGTAACGGTACTTACTCTTTTTGCGATTGTGAAAATGTGAAGTCCCAAGTGGGAATTTCTCAACGAAACTTCATTTGTCATATTTTATTTGCTCCCCAGACCCAGACCCCGTTGTCCACATAGTCATATCATATATTATATATATTATCTAATCGATAATTTCAAATCCTTTTCAGATTAGGTGCGTTTATGTATTACCGGGAAAAACATTCTGTATTTTTGCAACGACACAAGAAATGTTATTGCAACATTCAGATTTGGGTCTGAAAAAAAATTGACGGTACATTCATTTTCTTGAGTGTCAATACAGTTAAGTTTGACAAAAAAATTTTTTACTTACAAGTTTTACTTGCAACAAACCATATCAAATGCTTAACCAACTATTTGAAATTATTTCCTGCGAAGATCCTATTAACGCACTATTTACTATTGGGAAATAATATTAAGTATTCGAGAAATGCCGAAAATCTGGAAAAAATTAGAAAAATCAAACATTTTAGTTTTATTTTGCAAAAATATAGTACAAACGGGAAATTAGCAAAATGTGAACTGCACCATTGAAAAAAGAGCGACCTTGAAAATTGTGGGAAAGGTATTTTGCATATTTTTTGTACGGACATTTTTACGATAATTTGTCCGAAAGATGAAAATACGTCTATTGTTTTAACGAAAATTGATATTCTTTTACTTTTAACGCTGAAAAAATGTGCAAAGACCTGATATGCGCATTTTTGGAATTTTTTTCACAATTTCGGTTACTATACCAATGAAAAAAAAATTATGAAAAAGGTGTAACTTGAAAATTAAATTTGGCAGTTTTGGGTACCCCGAAAAGTAAAAAATGAAAGGAGAATTCCTCATATACAACTAAAGGTAACATGTGGAAAATAATAAACACCGTAATAATATCCACGTGAATTATGAACAGTTTGGTAAGAAATTATATGAAAGTGAAAAATACTGTTTTTGAAAATGTATGATGGACGTGTGTCAGTTTGTTTTGGTACAATCAATATTTTTTGTTTACAGCAATTTTTTTTTTTTAAATAATCAAAGGAGTTTTTCAGCTTAAAATAAAATAAAATTCAGATTGTCAAAAAGGACCTTCTTAGTTTTGGATAAAAAAAGGGGGCAAATTTGGCGTTACGATGATTTAAAAAAAAATGAGAACTTTCATTTGTATACAAAAAATGTTTACAACAATTAATCGGCCAACTTTCCGGACAAACACCTTTGATAATCGGATTCAGCGCACCAATAAGTATATGAACTTTGATGCAGCCCATGGACCTCCACCAGTCCACCGGTTACGAAAAGTAATATATCAGGCTGACCGGCGACAGTGGTGAAATCTGAATTTGTTTAGGGATCAAAGATATGATTAGTATCTACCGATTACAATAACGCAGATCTTAATTTATCGTCGTTTGTCAATTGTACGAGAAATCGAAATTTTTCCATTAACAATTGTAATTGCAAATTGACTTGGCGTACATTCAATGTTAATTCTCCACTTCTATGTTTTTAGTTTTTGCAATTTTTAGCGAATTTCGTCTAATTTAACATGTATTTCGACGCATTTTGAATTTTTCGGTTTTTCCGATTTTTTCTCTAGTTTAAACAATGAAAATTAATTTCTTGAATAGTTTCATTTAATGAAATAAATCATCTCACGAACAACTTTTGTACTTAACATTTTCCTCTGTAATCAACATAGTTTTAATTATTCTAAGGAAAAACCACTAAAAACCAGGTAAAAATTTTATTTTTCATTAAAAAATCTATGAAGCGAATCTTGGTTCATGTACATATTTTTTATCTTTCTTACTTTTAAGCCCAAATTAATATGCTTCGTTGGGGTGTCAACTTTTCCAGAGTTTTTTGAGCCTCTGGCTCCTGACTCCTGACCATAAAAGTGTGTCGAGTCGATACTTTATTATTGTCGTCAAAGACTTTTTCAACGAGACAAGGAGAGCACATATACACGAAGCCACGAACGATTAACGAACTCCAAAGCTGCACGAGAGAGACAAAATTGATCGAAAGAGAGCAGCACTCAGCAGCTCGAGCCTCCAGCCCTCGAGCTTACGAGCTAGTTCGGTAGTTCCTATGTTCCTAAGAGTGTGGCTCTGGCTGTCATAGGTCATAGTCTGGTCACCGACACCGACACGCGACGGCGACAACTATTTGTATTACTTTCTCTCTCTTTCTGTCTCTCTAGGCGCTGCTCCTCCACCACCGTCCTCCAACCTCCTACGTTAACGGGCGGCCTGTAAGTGTACATACGGGCGGACTCGCGTAAGTTTTCATCGTCCCGCACTCTTGTGTCCTTGAAAGAGTAAAAGTAGCCATGCTCCTCTTACGAAGTGTACGCCTCGTTGCCTCGGGTGTGAGACAGCTGCCCAGCACTCAGGTAAGCCCAATTTCACCGGGTAGCATTGTGAGTGTATATGCGTGAGTGTCCATTATCATGTAAGACCTGCACCACCGTTGCTCTTCCTACACTTCAGGACGGTGTTGAGAAAATTTACTGCGTTTGCCGACCCAGAGGATTAGAAGATTTCGGAAAGACAAGCCTCTGCCTACGTCCCTGCCGTACCCAACCATCTTTTCTCTGCCGTGGGTCATTAACGTGGGCTAATTACTGCGCTTATCACAAATTCTACGTGTCCCCTCGATAATCTCGTGTTTACCAAGATTTTTCACCCCGTAGCTCATAATTGCCATCCGTCATTACATAAACACTTGAATCGCGGGCGGTATTGCTTATACGTAGCCCTCGATTCGGGAACCAACATAGGTAGTTATGTAACAAAATGTATAGGTATAGGTATCTTAAGTATTTTTTGAAGCGACCCGAACCTCGTATACTAGCTCTATTCTTCTGCTTCGTACATGAATACACATCTATTTACATTAATTGGACCTTAACCGGCTATGTGTGTACTTTCAGGTGTGCTTACCCTTGACCAGCGTCTCCTCCAAGAAGTACCATGTCTCCTGCAGCCGAAGATCTGTCGAGATCTCTTCGATCCTCGAGGAGCGCATCCTTGGCACCAGCAGCAAGGTGATCTGTCTTACAGTATTCGACTTTTTTGTTGATCCCCTAATTACAGAGTTTTACAAATTTTTGGTACTCATCTGCTTGTATGTGGGTAAAATTGCTCGTCAGACACTGATTTTACTTTTTTTTTCTCCACGAATAAGCTTTGTTTTTGTTTTTAAAATGAAAAATTCTCGGTATTGTTCTGTACACCTGGCTATACAACCATTACTTAGACATCTAACATTTGCACTAAATGATTTTCTAACATAAAAAACATTAAAAAATTGCAAAGTACATAATGTATTTATAGAAACTTTACAATTATAACAGCCGAATACCATTATTTGTATTACTTGTATTATATAACATATTTTTTGTTACAAATACTGGTTTGTGCAACGAGTAACGTGTGTACAGCATTTATTTTTTCATTGAAATAATAATGCCTCTTGAAGTCATATTATTTGATACTTAATGTAAATGAGTTTTCAACCAAGTAAATAAATGTGCCAACTTAGGTCAACCTCGAAGAGACCGGTCGTGTGCTCAGCATTGGTGACGGTATTGCCCGTGTCTACGGTCTCAAGAACATTCAGGCCGACGAGATGGTGGAATTCAGCTCCGGATTGAAGGGCATGGCCTTAAATTTGGAGCCCGACAACGTCGGTATTGTCGTCTTTGGTAACGACAGGCACATCAAGGAAGGCGACATTGTCAAGCGTACTGGTGCTATTGTCGACGTGCCCGTTGGCGAAGAACTGCTGGGACGTGTTGTCGATGCCCTGGGTAATCCCATTGACGGAAAAGGCCCACTTGGAAACAAGCTGAGGTTCCGTATTGGTACCAAGGCCCCAGGTATCATTCCTAGGTAAGATTTAGTCATTGTTTTTGCTTGTACATCGTAATTTTTTTTTTCTGTGTCCACTACCAACTCTTATTTCACTGAAAATTAAAAAATCTTTATATTTTCAATTTACTTGTCAGTTATATTGAATGGTATTGGATGTATAATAAAAACTCTTTGATTTTTTACTTCCAGGGAATCTGTACGAGAGCCTATGCAGACCGGTATCAAGGCCGTCGATTCGCTTGTACCAATTGGTCGTGGTCAGCGTGAGTTGATCATTGGTGACCGTCAGACTGGAAAGACCGCTTTGGCTATCGACACCATCATCAACCAGAAACGTTTCAACGATGCCACCGAAGAAAAGAAGAAGCTATACTGCATTTACGTTGCTATTGGACAAAAACGATCTACAGTTGCCCAGATTGTCAAGCGTCTCACAGACAGCAATGCCATTAACTATTCCATCATTGTCTCGGCCACTGCATCTGATGCTGCACCTCTGCAATACCTTGCCCCCTACTCTGGCTGTGCCATGGGTGAATTCTTCAGGTATTTTTTTTCATATGTTACATATAATAATATTGTTCACTCGCGAAGTAACCAGTCAGAGTCATTCTTTTCACTTGTCTAGGTGAACTTAAAGTGAAAGTTTATAACTATATTAAAAATGATTTTTTAACTCGCAGGGATAACGGCAAGCACGCCCTCATCATCTACGACGACTTGTCCAAACAGGCTGTGGCCTACCGTCAAATGTCTCTGCTGCTGAGGCGACCCCCCGGCCGTGAAGCTTACCCTGGTGACGTCTTCTACCTCCACTCCCGTCTTCTTGAACGTGCTGCCAAGATGAACCAGACTCTAGGTGGTGGTTCCCTCACTGCCCTGCCCATCATCGAAACCCAGGCTGGTGATGTGTCGGCCTACATCCCAACTAATGTCATCTCCATCACTGACGGTCAGATCTTCTTGGAAACCGAGTTGTTCTACAAGGGTATCCGACCTGCCATCAACGTCGGTCTTTCCGTGTCTCGTGTAGGATCGGCTGCCCAAACCAAGGCCATGAAGCAGGTACTTTGACACTTTTTTCATGCTGTCGCTATTTAATGGTTCATACAAAAAATAATGGGACGAATGCTCTATCCGTTTTTTTGCTCATCAGGTTGCTGGTTCCATGAAGCTGGAGTTGGCCCAATACCGTGAAGTAGCAGCCTTTGCCCAGTTCGGTTCCGACTTGGATGCCGCAACTCAACAACTTCTGAACCGTGGTGTCCGTCTTACCGAACTGTTGAAACAGGGACAGTATGGTATGTGTCGATAAAATGTTTCTTTGTCTCTATTAGCATTACGAAACTTTTTTTAAAGATTTATGTAACGAGTTCTTTAATTTTTCTCAGTACCCATGGCCATCGAAGAACAGGTCGCCGTTATCTACTGTGGTGTCCGTGGATACCTCGACAAGATGGATCCCACAAAAATTACTGCCTTTGAAAAAGAATTCCTTGCCCACATCAAGTGAGTCCATCTAACTCTTGATACAATCGTGTTAGCTGTAGCAATAGATAACCTTAAAATGTTTTGAAAGAATTGATTGACAGTTTTTGAACACATGAATGTTGAATCAGCTAAAGTAAGCAAACTTTTACAGATCCACTCAACAAGACCTTTTGGCCACCATTGCAAAAGAAAACATCATCAGTGAATCGTCAGATGCTACATTGAAGAAGATCGTCACTGACTTCTTGGCCGGCTTCAATGCGTAAGCATACCGTTGAGGGACTTGATCATCAACATCCGCGATCTCGATCGATTAGTTATTATAAGCTATCTGCTGTTACTGCGCCGGTACCAAGCAACGTGTCAACACACGCACGCGACTGACGAACTTGGCATTTGAACGTGGAACTGTTTTTTTTAACATCTGCCCTCTTTTTTTTTTGTAAATAACGCAAGGAAGGCAATGAAAAAGCAGTTCCTTATTTGAACGGTAAAGTGGGCGGCTTTGTGCATGTATTGACACATTGCTCTTAGGTTCTTTAATAAAAAGAAGTACCTATTATTTCGTAACGAAACGTTGAATGAATGTAAGCCTCCCAATCATTGGAATCTGATTACTTTAATCGATACGACTATCAAGAAAAGAAAACAAGACCGAAAAAAATTGTTAGAAATAAGATAGTTAATAAAACACCAAACTTCAATAAATGTTACATTTTTAACTATCACCAACATCCTTTATTGCTTCAAACTGAAATTTTTGAAATTATGCCACGAGAAAATGATCAGTCATTAAAAATATACTCAAAGTTAGTTTACAAACTTTTTTTTAATAAATCTTAATCACAAGCTAAGTATGTACAAATTTCCTTAAAGTCTTATTACGAATTACACTCCATCGTTGACTCCAGCTATAACAATTTTGTTCATTTTTCTTTTGTCGAAATGAACTTGATTATGAACTTTGGTAATTAAACCAGTCGCTACAGTTCTCTGCTGTTCCCTAATTGTAAATGTTTGGCCTTCCAGCATGGGCATACAAAACATGAGTGTTATCCTCGCCGTGGCTTGTTCACCAGGCATCATGAGGTGCACGTTGGTTGGTAGTACTAGATCGACTCGCGCGTATATGTTCCAAGTCGAACTGAACAAGCTTGAACAGTAACCATACTTCTAAAAAAAGATTTTATAAAATTTAAGATTACTTTTTATTTCTCCAAGCATACAGAATCTTTAGAAAAGGTTTTATTACTGGAAGTGGCCGATGACGACCCCCTTCTGCAGCTGACAGGAGGTAAATGTGAGCTTCGTAATGATTACTGAAATTCAGAGAATTCTTTGCACACACCCACATCCCTTTCCGGACTGATTCGAGTTTAACTGATCTCAATAGAGCACCCACGTTTTCACCAGCAGGTGCTTGCGTAACACTTTTTTGAAAAATCTAAAAAATAAATAATAATGCAATATACGCCCTACTTAACTTGCAAATAATAAAAAATAAGTTCATAGTACCAGAGGCTTTTCATTTTACCTGTACATCAGAAACCACGGTTTTTGATTTTTCATCGAATCCTAGGAGTTCTGCATCGGCGCCTTTTTTAAGAATACCCCTTTTAACAGTTCCTACCACTACAGTACCCCTTCCCGGTACAGTAAAAGCATTATCAATGGGCAATACAAAAGGTGATTTGTAGTCTCTCTCCGGTGGCGAAATGTAGTTATCCAGAGTATCTAAAAGAGCCTGTATGGATGGAGTTCCATACTTTGAAGTGTCTTCATTTAAGGCCAACAGGGCAGATCCCTTTATGACAGGGCTGTTTTCGCTATCAAAACCATAATTGTCGAGAAGCTCTCGGACCTCCAGCTCTACTAGATCTAGTACCTCTTCGTCTGCTAGATCAGCCTGCAAGAAAGGATGGAATCAATAAAACAGAAATACGTGTGCTTTGTTGGTTTAAATAAATGTCACGTTTGGGTGATCGATTCCAAGAACAACGGTGACTGACTTTGTTGATGAAAACAACGATTTGCTTGATGCCAATTTGCTTAGCCAACAAAAGGTGCTCCAAGGTTTGAGGCATGGGCCCATCTGTGGCTGCAACAATCAAAATAGCTCCATCCATCTGAGAGGCTCCGCTGATCATATTCTTTATGAAATCCAAGTGACCAGGGCAATCGGTGTGGGCGTATCTCCTTTTTTTAGTTTTGTAACCAACGTGGGCAATGTTGATGGTGATGCCTCGAGCTTTCTCCTGGGGTGCCTTGTCGATTTCATCGTAGGGCACGTACTTGCAGTCTTTGTCCTGTGCAGCGAGATATTTTGTGATAGCAGCAGTGAGGGTGGTCTTGCCGTGATCGACGTGGCCTATGGTACCGACGCTGCAAATCTTTTCGTCGCTATTCTCTTTTGCAGCTACGCAGTAAAATCGTCGTCCTCTCCATTTGGATGTTGAAAGGTCGCAACGAGATCTGCCGGTGCATAAGGATCGGACGCACTTGCCCACACTCGACTCGACTTTTTGGCTTTTTATGCAGTTTATGGAGATAAGCAGTATTCGTTGCAGCAACATTTTGTTTGTCGATCTCTAGTACCTGTACTAGCGGGTGTAATTATTTATTATTGTGATACGCATGCAAAGCATGATTTAATGCTCAAATTCAAAATTTTTACAGGTCATTGCAGACGACAAAATTGATCAACACTGTGGGTGACGGGGGGCGGGGGCGAGCTCACTGTGGGTGTGTTCCAGTAACGCTCTTCGACAACTTACCGACAACTTAATTATGTCTTACGATATCTTGCGTCATGTTTAAGTTGTCGGAGAGCGCTACTGGAACTCACGGTGTGTAGTCTGAAATGTCCCGGGAGAAATTTGAATTACGTTCCAACTTTTCTATCTCACAATAATTATATTAATCAAGTAAAAAAATTCATTTTTCCGACCTCGGGCGTTTTTGAGGGTTGGATGTGCCTTCGGCACGAAAAATAGGATTCGCCACATAAGTGCCATCGCTCCGCGGCTACCTTACGTGTCTTCGGGCCCTGCTTCGCAGGAATCGCAGGTCACTTTTGGGCCGCAAAATAGCTAGCCCCGGAGACGACGAAAACTACTAATAATACGAAGCATTATTCCGTAAATTATTTATTATTTATGATAAAATCAGCGAGATAAAATTTTCTTTTCAATGTTAGACAGCTCTCATTTTTTGGTTACGTGAGTGACTCTACTTATCGATCGTTTGATGTCTATACCTTTTTTTTTTTTTTATATTATAGTGCTCTACGTCCGGCTCCTTTAATAAGGGCACTACTATGGGCACTTAGCACTTGGGAGAAAGGAAGGGAAGAGGGATGGGAGGCCTCCCATTACTGGGAGGGGGGTAGGGGGAAATAAGGCAATTTTTTTGCGAGAAGGTTGCCTAGACCCTCCTCGAGAAGCATTGCGATTGCGTGGTGAAAAGCACATGTGAAAAATCACAGAGGTACTTGCCCGTAAAGTCGCACTGGCCAGGAATTGAACCGCGGTCTCCCGCGTCCCAATCCACGACCTAGCCTGAGCCACCGCGAGCTCAATGATGTCCATACCTAAAAGTTCTCAAATGGCATAAATAGGGTGGTTCTTCACGATGGTGCCGTATCACAGCGACACGGGACCCTGTGGTTTTCTAATTTTCGATTAGCGTAGTATTTGCAACATAAAATATGTTGTACTGGCACTTGAATATAATATCATTGCATTTACATACAAATAAATATGCTAATAAAGTCAGAGTAAGAGTTATGAAAAAACTTTTTTTTGACTCAAGGTTCTGAAAATGGCATGTACGCTCCTACTCAAGCAGACGTTGCCGCCGATTTCTGCATGTATACCTATATATATACAATCGTCGAGCGTCGTCTGCCGCACAAACGTAACCCCTTCACTTTTGTTTTTATTATCCGATGTATCTCTTATCAGTCAGTGAAATAGTTTCTTTGAAAAGAAATAATACTACCAATGGCCATATTATTAAATTAAACATTATGTTGCATGAGATTTCAATTATCTTACTTCAGAACTAAATATTGATATGATTCTTGTTATGATTGCCTTATGTACGTTTTTAACACAAAAATAAACTCTAATTTTCGTTTTCAACAAATATTAATCATAAAATAATTTTACTGATTGTCTTATTGCCATATTAGTAAGTGAGTCATTTTAGATTTGCGCGCGCGATCCGAGCGTCTGCTCGTTTACACGGCAGACATTTCGCTCTCGCTGATCAATAACTGATTAAGTTTACGATTAAATATCGTATACTATTTCCCTGATAAGCCCAAACTTTTGTTATATTATTAGAAAGCTGAAAAGTTCTTCTTTCACTACAAACTTTTTCTATTACGATCTTAAGTCTACTTTACGAGATATTACATGATATCGTAGTATGGAAAAGTAACCTACATAAGAATACATGTTAANGCGCTTGGGGAGCACGACGAGCGTCCTGCGAGTTCAAATGTTCCGTGCTACGCGTGGATATTTTTTCATCAGGTGCATCATTTGTTCCATTCGGAGGTTCTCTGTCGTTATAATTTTCATCCCTATTATAATTTCTGTTACAATTATAATTTTCTCTATAATTATTGATCTTACCGTACTGGTTGTTGTAATTGTTATTATTATTTCTTGAGTAATCAGCGTTTCTGTTGTAGTTATTATATTTGTTGTAGCCTGTATTCGTATAAGGGTTCCTTCTATAATCGTTATTATAGTTTTGGCTATACGTATTAGGGGGATAATTATAATTATTCCGGTAGTTAAAATTTCCTTCCGTATTTTCCCTGTTCTTATTGTTAAATTGTTCGCGTCCGTCGCTCCAACTTATTCTCCCATTCTCTGCGTCTCTTACTAGTGTGCGGCATTCGCTTGTATAGTGCCCCCTGCGTTTGCAGTAAGCGCAATTTTTATCCCTTACGTTTTGTTTATCTTGTGATACCTGCACTGGNTCTTGCGGCATTCCTCGCTTAAAAAGCGGAAGCCTGTTGTAATTAGGCCTGGTGGGAGCTTTGACAGAGCTACAAATTTTTTAAAAAGCATATGTTTCTTAGGTTGCTCTCGTTTATTGTAACGAGCCAAAGCCACTCCCTTGTTCACAGCTATCTTCCAAAGAGCCTAAAAAACAGTAAGTAATAATATAGAAACATTTTTTAAATAATTAATTTCATACTACGCATGAATATGACATCAAGATACGTTAAGTTTAAAAATTTTATACCTGCCCAAGAGGAAAATTACATCCAGTTGATGTAGTTTCAAAAATCATTGAGGCTGCATTTACCATTGCTGGCTCGAAGTCTGTCATAACAGACTGTGGGCACAAGTTCGGAAATTCCCGTTTTAATGCGGTAAAAATTGCCTCGTATACCTTTTGCGTTTTTGACGACAAAAATGCAATAGCAAAAAGATACGCCTAAAAAATTGAGACCCGTGAGCCCAGAATATTATATTTTTCCTCTACGCGTATGCGCGATTATCAGAAAAAAATTGTGTTTACTTTGGAATTTTTTTTTCCGTATATTGGTACTATCTTAAATAGAAATGTTAATTATTTAAGTGCTATAAAGATTATATTCCATTATCGAAAATAGATAAAAAGGTTACCAAGGAGGGAAAAAAATTTTTTTTACGGATTATATACGGATTATTATGCAAAAATCGGCATATATTGTAAGGGCCGGAATAGATAATTACTTAGAATAAATTTTGAATTGTGCACATCTTATTTTCTTTTGCATACGGTCCGTGACCGAAATTAACTAAAAATTTTTTGGGCCCGCTTCATGTGTGCGAGAAAAGTTTTGTTACGGGCTTTTATTTTTATTTTTTTTTTTTGGGGAGGGGGGGGAATTGAATGTACAAATCCACGAAAAAATCGAGAAAAATTCCTAATAGTTTTTTTAATTCTCCAAAGTGAGTAAAAATGTTGATTGTGTTACGTGGGATTCTCGGTGCGGGAATAAATAGAAGCGTGACTTGTTGTTACTTATGCTTTATTAGAATTACTCATCATTGAGGGAAGTTGTGCATGTATTATCGTTTCGCGGACTCCGTCTTTACCCTCTTGCGTCTCTAGCTGATCTCTCTGTCCCTTCTCTCTACCTTTCCTATCACCTCTCTTCTCTTATCCCCTACCTTTCGGGCCCAAGCCAGCAGAGGCGCACGCACGCATAGCTATATGCTATCGTACNAAAGGGACTTGAAATTTTAAGAGAAGATGCCTTATAACTTTAATAACAATCCCTCCAAGTTTCCCTGTAAGTTTAAGTAAATGGGTTAGGTGAAGAACCACCACGAGTAAAAATTATTTAATGCAACGCGATATTCTGGAAATTACCATTAGTAAATTGTTTTCTGAGTAAGTATACAGTATCATTTCAAAATATAAAAATTCAAACATCATTCCGATTTGTCTTGGGATTCGGCGTTCGGGGTCTTTCAATAGTAGTTGGAATTTCAGATCGGCAAATCAGAATGATAAGCTACAATGGTTCGAGGGACAGAGGTGGTGCCATATAACTTTTTTGGCTTCACAAGCCTATCCGCCTACCCGATGTACAGAAAAATAGATAAATAGTTACACAAACGAGCGAGTGAGTTCCATAGAGTAAAAATGGAGCGCAACTCTTGGTTGTGAGTGTGGTGCATAGATAGATTATAGATAGGCGCTTCCGTATGGTATATGGTTAATGGTATATGGTATTATGGTCCGTGGGACCTTACCATGTAACTATTTTTCTGTACATTGGCCTATGTTACAACACTGGCCCCCGAAGCAAAAAAAAGGTATATGGTACGGCCAGTCCTGCCAAAAATTTGATTCGAAGGCCAAGATCAGGGCCTGGCCAGGCAAGCCTTACATCAATGCCACGGCCTGGCCAGGCTCAAATGCAGAGATTGTATAGCACAGTGTAATGACTTTTACCTCAGGTTATGATCAGGCCCTGGCCAGGGTATACAAAGTCTGTTCTGGAGAAAAAACAAATTTCGAATTAAAAAAAAACAAACATTTATTTATTCATTAATATCTATTTTGACCCCTTCAAAGTGATCCTCTTTATTTATAATGCACTTGTCAGCGCTTTTTCCAATCCTCGAAGCACTTCTTAAATGCGCTTTTCGGTATAGCCAACAGCTTGTTCTTTGATTCTAACTTTATCTCATCAATTGTGGCAAAATGCTTTCCTTTCATTGGTCTCTTATTCAGTTTTAAAAATAAGGAAGAGTCGCAGGGGACCAAATCTAGTGCATACGGCAGTTGAGGCATGGGACATGGAGTACATGACATCCGTCAAACCCTACAAATTTATTTTAAGTTGGCAGCATCCAACAGTGGTTGTCAGCGTGGGTCAGCGTGGCTGACATCCGTCATACCCACGTGAAGGTAGTTACGAGAAATCTAGTTACCCACTACAAGCGGGAAATTCAAATATCCGAAGTATCCTATACGTCCAATTCCACAATAACCCAAGAATTTTATCCTAATGACCCAGGGTGCTTACTGGCTACTCTATTTAATAATGAATTATTGAATAATAATAATACAAGCACCAATCACCCGATAACCCAGGNGTTTTCACGTTCGGTATATGAAGTTAATTTTTCAAATACGGGGGGTCTATG